TTAGCAACACACAACAATTTGTGGTGTGTAAGTAACTGAACGTATGGCAGAGGTACTAGTCTGGTTACTACCCTCTGGTTTATATATATATATATATAAATACAACTAAACAACAGCATCCAAATACAGGTATATATACGGTAGCCCCAAGTAACCTGCTCGTTTTCTACTATACGTGGCGAGAAGTGGTTTTCTGCCAACGTGAAAAAGTCGTAGGGCCGGAGGGGCTACATACGTGGTAGCTACTACGTACAAGTAATTTGGCTAGTTTGTTGATGGATTGTGATGATATTTTGTGCTGAAATATGCAGGTACATCAGTCCTCGCCAAAAGACAAAATCCTTTACTGGACGTTCGGTCCAGTAAAAAATAGATTTTTACCAGACCGAATGATATGTTACTGGACCAAAAAAATATTGAAACATTAAAACACATTCACATCTCTGTTGCTTTTCCTTTGTGGACATATCTAACATATATATGCTTTCCTGCTTATCACCAGTTATGTCTGTTGACCCGTCCATGATAAGCTGAAAAATCTAGCATCGTTTATTTTTTCATCCATTTCGTGACGCGTACAATCAGCAATGCATTGCTTGTCAGCTTTGTCATTAATGTAGGTTTCACCTATTCCTAGGCCTTTGGCCTTGTCCAGTTGTGTGATCCAGGTATAATCAGTGATAGTAATATAAACTTCCCATGATCAATAGTTCACACACACACGTCGCATGTCATCATTTTCTTATCTTTTATCATATAACAGCTAATCTCTTCCTATCGCTTTCCCACACCATAGATTAATTTGGTACACGCGTATATAAGATAGCCATAGGCAGGAATATTAGAGTTAAGCATAGTGTGTGGTACTGGCGTACCCATAGCCTCTGCGTAATTAGTTGATGTAATGTTGCCTGACACACGGTCTGGTAAAGCCAAATTTCTTGTCGGCTCCAGGCAAAAATCACCGGTTTTGTCCGACGGTCCGACGCTTTTGGCGAGGACTGGTACATGGATTAGAATCTCTAAGGATGGATATCAGAATAAATAAAACAAGTTTATTTTTACATCCGATCACTCTTTTATTAATCTGTGTGCTAGTGTTGGGTTGTTGGATGAAAAGAATGTAATCCTGACAAAGCCATTGAATAAATGAAGGGTGAAGATGAATGATAATCAGTAGATTGACATGACATCCCAATTTTCGTTTT